TACTATCAAATTGAAGGAAAACGTGATTTCAAATACTAAAATGAGTAATTAAGTTAATCAATTATTTTTGGCTTGCTTGACGGCGGTATTAGGCGCCATCCCAACTTTTAATGGATTTTGGGTCAAATGCTATAGCCAACACCATCTGCATAGGCCCGAGCCACTAGACCCGGATCGCCTAAAATTTTGCTGGCCCGTCAAAAATATCTATAAGGAACTGTAGTCACCGCCTCGCCACGACCCTTACTCGTTTTTTGGCGTTTTAGGCCATAAAACTGCAATTTCGCTCGATTCTCAGATTTTCGTGTGCTATAGCCTAGGCCTTCTGCATAGGCACAGGCCATCGGACTCGAATAGCCCAAAACTTTGTTGAACCATCAAAAATATCCTATGGAACAATAGCCACCGCCTCGCCATAACCGTTACTCATTTTTGGCATTTTAGGGCCATAATTTAAAATTATGTTCGATTCCCAAATTTGCGAGTGCTATAGTCCACGCCTTGTGCATAGGACCAAGCCACCAGACCTGGCTCGCCTAAAATTTAGCAGGCCAATCAAAACATCTAAAGGAACAATAGTCACCGCCTCGCCATGGCCATTACTCTTTATTTTATTTTTTTGCATTTTAGGGCCATAAAAATGAAATTCCGCCAAATTCCTAGATTTTCCTGATTCCTAGATTGTTGTGTGCTATAGCCCAATCCTTCTGCATGGGCCCAGGCCACAGGACCCGGATCGCCTAAAATTTTACCGAACCATCATAAACGTCCTAAGTAAATATAGTCACCGCCTTGCCATGATCGCCTAAAGTTTTCCCCGCCCATAAAAAACATCCTATATAACAATAGTCGCCGCCTCACAATGACCGTTATTCATTTTTTGGTATTGTAGGACTGTAAAACTAGTTTACGTTCGATTCCCAAATTTTCCCGTGGTATAGCTTACGCCTTTTGCATAGGCCCAGGCCATCGGCCCGCATCGCCTAAAATTTTGCTGGCCAATCAAAAACGTCCTAAGGAACAATAGTCACCGTCTTGCCTCAACCGTTACTCATTTTTAGCGTTTTAGGGCCATAAAACTAGAAATTCGCCCGATTCTCAGATTTTCGTATGCCATAACCCACGCCTTTTGCATAGGCCCGGGCCACCGGACCCGGATAGCCTAAAATTTTGCCGGCCATCAAAAACGTCCCGAGTAACAATAGTCACTGGCTCGCCATGACCGTTACTCATTATTTCGGCATTTTAGGGCCACAAAATTGTAATTTCGCCCGATTCCTAGATTATTGTGCGGTATATCCCATGCCTTCTGCATGGGCTCAGACTACCGGACCCGGATCACATAAAATTTTTACGGCCCATAAAAACGTCCTGAGGAAAAATAGTCACCTCCTCGCCATGACTGTTACTCTTTTTTATTGGTGTTTTACGGCAACAAACCTTCTGCATGGGCCCGAGCCACCAGACCCGGATCGCCTAAAATTTTGCCGGCCCATCAAAAACATCTTAAAGAACAACAGTTACCACCTCGCCTTGACCGTTACTTTTTTTTCCATTTTAGGGCTATAAAACTAGAATTTTGCCCGATTCCCAAATTTTCATGTGCTATTGCCTATGCCTTCTGCGTGGGCCCGGGCCACCAGACCCGGATCGCATAAAATTTTACCGGCCCATCAAAAATATCTTAAGGAACAATAGTAACCTCCTCGCCATGACCGTTACTCATTTTTTGGCGTTTTAGGGCCATAAAACTAAAATTCCGCCTAATTCCCAAATTTTCATCTGCTATAGCTCGCGCCTTCTGCATGGGTCCAGGCCACAAGACCCCGATTGCCTAAAAACTTTTCAATCCATAAACAACGACCTAAGGAACAATAGTCACCAACTCGCCATAATCATTACTAGTGGTTTGGCATTTTAGGGCTTTAAACCTTGAATTTCGCCCGATTCACAGATTTTCGTATGCTATTTCCCACGTCTTCTGCATGGGCCCGGGCCACCAGACTCGGATAGCCTAAAATTTTGACAGCCCATAAACAACGACCTAAGGAACAATAGTCACCGCCTCGCCATGATCGTTACTAGTTTTTTGGCGTTTTAGGGCTATAAAACTGATATTCCATCCAATTACTAAATTTTCGTGTGCTATTGCCCACGCCTACTGCATGTGCCCGGGGCACCGCACCCAGATTTGCCTAAATTTTTGGTGGCCCATCAAAAATGACCGAAGGAACTATAGACACTAACTCGCCATGAACGTTACTCATTTTTAGCGTTTTAGGGCCATAAAACTAAAATTTTGCTTGATTCCCTTATGTTTTATTTTAGTTATCTAATGACGGCCTTCCCAACTCATTTACCCATGATAGCACGAAGAAAAATATATGTTACGTTGGTACTCGATTGAATAAGGCACCGGGTTTCCGTTGCAGCCCTTCGATTTGGGTCGTGACGGCATGGGCCCGGCAAAATGAACCCAGATCGCCTAAAATTTTGCTGGCCCATCAAAAATAACCTAAGGAACAATAGTTACCACCTTGCCATGTCCGTTACTCCTTTTTTGGCGTTTTAGGACCTAAAACTGAAATTTCGCCTGATTCTAAGATTTTCGTGTGCTATAGCCACGCCTTATGCATGGGCCCACACGAATCACCAAAAATTTTGAAGGCCCATAAAAAATGTCCAATGGAACAATAATCACTGCCTCGCCATGACTGTTACTCATTTATTTGCGTTTTAGGGCCATAGAACTAGAATTCCGCCCGATTTCCAGATGTTCATGTGCTACTGCCTACGCTTTTTGCATGGGCCCAGGCCACCAGATTCGGATTGCCTAAAAATTTTCCGGACCCTAAAAACGTCCTAAGTAACAATAGTCACTGCCTCGCCATGACTATTACTCATTTTTTTGGCGTTTTAGGGCCATAATACTGGAATTCTGTCCGATTCCCAAATTTTCGTGTGTTATAGCCAACGTCTTCTGCATGGGCCTGGGCCACTGGACCCGAATTGCCTAAAATTTTGCCGGCCTGTCAAAAATGTGCTACGTAACAATATTCATCGCCTCGCCATGACCGTTACTCTTTTTTTTTGGCATTTTAGGGCAATAAAATTAGAATTCTGCCTGATTCCCAAATTTTCGTGTGCTATAGCCAAGGCCATCTGCATAGGCCCGGGCCATTAGACCCGGATCGACTAAAAATTTTCCGACCTGTCAAAAACGTCTATAAGGATCTATAGTTACCGCCTCGCCATGACCGTTACTCGTTTTTGGCGTTTTAGACCATAAAATTGGAATTCTGCCCGATACTCAAATTTTCGTATGCCATAGCCCACAAGTGATCCGCCACTTTGTTTTCACTCCCTTTTCGATCTTGGATGTCTATATCAAACTCTTGCAACAAAAGTACCCATCTCATCATTCTGCATAGGCACAGGCCACCGGACTCGGATAGCCTAAGATTTTGCTGAACCATCAAAAATATCCTGTGAAACAAGAGTCACCTCCTCGCCATGACCGTTACTCATTTTTTGGCATTTTAGGGCCATAAATTTGAAATTTCGCCTGATTCCCAAATTTGCAAGTGCTATAGTCTACACCTTCTGCATGGGACCAGGCCACCAAACTTGGCTCGCCTAAAATTTTGCAGGTCAATCAAAAACGTCTAAAGGAACAATAGTCACCGCCTCGCCATGACCGTTACTCTTTTTTTTTGAATTTTAGGGCCATAAAAATAAAATTCTACCCGATTCCTAGATTTTTCTGATTCCTAGATTTTCGTGTGCTTTAGCCCACGCCTTCTGCATGGGCTCAGACCCGGATTGCCTAAAATTTTACCGAACCATCATAAACGTCTAAGTAAATATAGTCACCGCCTTGCCATGATCGCCTAAAGTTTTGCTCGCCCATCAAAAACATCCTGTGTAACAATAGTCACCGCCTCGCTATGACCGTTACTCGTTTTATGGTATTTTAGGACCATAAAACTAGATTTATGCTCGATTCCCAAATTTTTCTGTGGTATAGCCTACACCTTTTGCATAGGCCCAGGCCACCGGTCCGGATCGCCTAAAATTTTGCCGGCACATCAAAAACGTCCTAAAAAACAATAGTCGTCGTCTCGCCTCGACCTTACTCATATTTGGCGTTTTAGGGCCATAAAACTAGAAATCCGCTCGATTCTCAGATTTCCGTGTGCTATAACCCACACCTTCTACATAGGCCTGGGCCACCGGACCCAGATAGCCTAAAATTTTGCCGGCCATCAAAAACGTCCTGAGTAACAAAATTTAACCCACGCCTTCAGTATATCGTTTCTGATTGGCCCACAAAATTTGAGGCGATTTAGAGTCCATCGCCCGAATTCATGAAGATGGCGTGGACATTAACACACGAAAAAATGAAAATCGTCTTTAAATCATATTTTATGGCCCTAAAACCCCAAAAGTGAGTAACGGTCATGGCGAAGCGATAATTATTGTTCATTAGGCCGTTTCTGATGGCTCACACAATTTTAGGTGATTCGAAACCCGTCGTCTGAATTCATGAAGATGGCATGCACATTAGTACATGAAAAATTGAAAATCATCCTGAATTCATATTTTTCTAAAACGCCAAAAAATGAGTAACAATCATGGCGTATTTATGACTATTGTTCATTAGGTCGTTTTTTATGGGCCCAAAAACCTTTAGCTAATTCGAAGCCATCGTCCAAATTCATGAAGATGGCGTGGACATTAGCACATGAAAAATTAAAAGTCGTACTGAATTCCTATTTTATGGCCTAAAACGCAAAAAAAAATAAAAAACAGTCATGGCAAAGCGCTGTCTATTGTTTATTAGGTTGTTTTTATTGGTCCACAAAATTTTAGGCGATTCGGAGATCGTAATCCGAATTCATGAACATGGCCCTAAATTCTTGTTTTAGTGCCCTAAAATGCCAAAAAACGAGAAACAATCATGGAAAAGCAATGCCTATTATTCATTAAGTCGTTTCTGATGGGTCCACAAAATTTAGGCGATTCGGTGCCTGTCGCACGAATTCATAAAGATGACGAGGACATTAGTAAATAAAAAATTAGAAATTGTCCCGAATCTTTGTTTTATTACCCTAAAAGTGCCAAAAAAATAAGGAACGGTCATGGCGAAACAATGACTATTGTTCATTAGGTCGTTTCTGAATAGCCCACAAAATTTTCGACGATTCGAGGACCGTCACCCGAATTCATGAAGATGGCGTGGACATTAACACACAAAAAATTGAAAATCATCCTAATTCCAACTGTGGGAAGATAAGTGCAAGCAGCTTCTTGAATGGATTACTACCGGTAGAATCAAATGTAGCCAATCCGAATAGGCAATTACGTGCACCAAATGAGGAATGAAGAGGCAGCGTCGCTGTCACCCTTGCTTAGTTCCATATCTTTTTCAGTAGCAAGTGCTTCTGAATGGAGGAACAGACTGGTTTGAAAAGCAGCTGCCGGCATATATTTGGGCCCCTCGCGAAGCAGGTTGAGATTCTTTCGTGGATCATCTCCTTTCTGGATACTGCAAGAGGTCAAGGAGGAATGGGAAGTAAAACCTTTTGTGATGCTTGTTGTTATAATAGTCATAAATTTTGTACAGATTACTAATAAATGTAGGGTCTATGAAAGTGGTACAACATACCTGCTCAGAAACAAATATGGTAAATGAGCTTCATATAGCATGATTTCAAATATCTGCAACTACTCTCTGTCGAAACTGCAGATCCTCAGTTTCTATGCCATTGTTCAAATTCTAAGGTTTTCTACTTTTGTTAGGAGTTTTTAGTTGCACTGAAATTTTCCAAGTTTTTCATAACCATAATATGTGCTATTCTTCAACTTCCTGCATGCTGCTACATTATACTTTGAGCTAGGTTCTTTTAGAAACTCAATTACCGCCCTGTGATGTAATACTGAATATAAAGTCTACAAAAGGAAATAGTAGACTTTTCAAGTACTTCTAGGATTTTCCTTCACGGCATATTCGTGTTGAATCTGAAAATATCATCGGGCAATTTATTCATAGAGCATGTGACAGTAGATTCATATCTGCACTTAAGTAATGCACAAACCAAATAAAGAAAAAAACTGGAGCATCAGATAGAAATCCTGTAGAATAAGATCTAGATAATGAAAAGCATGCGGGCATTTAATGATGCTGCCTCGCAGTTAACAAAGTGGGTAAAATGGGAGATAGGGTTCAAATCCCAGTAGAGGCAAAAAATGCTTGACCGATTTCTGTGCATCTGCCTAAACTCTGATGGATAGAATTACCCCTAATAAGTTGGCCCGCACACCTTCGTGATTAAAAAAGAAAAGATAAGGAAAACCATGCCTTCCACAGATCAGAGAAAGCTATTTCTTTTGGAGAGGATGTTTGGTTTTAGGAAGAAAAATGAAAAATAAAAAAGGATTGATGCTGACAATCTTAACCTCTAAACCAAAAGGAAAGAAAGAATTTTAAACCTCGAAGTAATCCGAGGATCTTCAGCCAATAATTTTAGGGAACACAAAGGTGGAATCACTTCTGGAAGAGGCTAGTAGCTCAGAACTATCAGTATTATGTCTCTAGATTAAAAAATGTTCCATAACAGCCATATGCCATACACACCCCAAAAGAGCTGAACACACTGAAAGTTAAGAAAGTGAAGTGTATAGAGGTAAAACATCACATCAGATCTAGTTAGGCAATATCGTTGCAATTTTGACATGCAATTGATGCGTAATGTAGATGATTCGTGTTTCTGTCACTCATTTTCATCTACACATCTTATTGTCATAATCAGCACAAGCTTAACTATGTTCTAAAGTGACATTGAAGTCTGCTCCAAATGTCTACTGAAACTCTAGCTATTCCACTGTAAATAGCTAATCATACACAAGATCATCCAAACTTCTACATATATATAATAAGAAAGGGGACGCCAACTACAGCATTGACTATTCTGAGATATGAGAGCATACTATTGCCTGCCTTAACGTATTGCCCAAGAAATAAACTAATTCAATCTAGCACATAACTTGACAGGCTGCTACCTCATGCACCATAACATGTATAACAGGTAATTAACAAGTCAATTTCAGCAAATATGAAAATAATCAGTTACTAAGTAATCATATCATGAACCTTGAGAAACATTCCCCAAATGTAACGACCCGACTGGTCGTTTTGCTTTCTAGAACCACGTTCCCCTAAGACTTCCCGTACTTGCTCTTACTGATTTATGACTTGCGGGGATGGTTGGTTCGGGATTTGAAAGAGTTTGGATCGAAATCGGAACACTTGGTTCCTTGGTTCCTCAAGTTCATAAATTTGAATCAATTGGTTTTAGGGTGTGATTCCTAGTTTTAATGTTGTTTCGGGCGTTCCGAGGGTTCGAGCGAGTCCGTTTTATCATTTCAAACTTGTCGGTATGTTCGGGCGTGGCCCCGGGGGCCCCGAGCGTCAATCGGACGTGGCTCGAGCTAAGTTGAAAATTGGAGGAGGAGCTGAAGCTCTAGCTGCTGTCATAACCGCACCAGCGGTTGGCCAGCCGCAGATGCGAGCCCGCAGGTGCGGGACATGACTCGCAGATGCGGCCAAGGGTGGGCAGCCCAGAAACCGCAGATGCATCCCCTTCTCCGCAGAAGTGGTGGGCCTTCCGCAGAAGCGGACACTTGCTCGCATAATCGAGACCACAGATGCGGTCAAAGCACCGCAAGTGCGGAAATCGCTGAAGGCAGTGGCCTTCATTTAATACGGGAGTTAGTCATTTTTGACACATTTCACTCCATTGTTGGGCAATTTTGGAGCTTCTTGAGAGGGGTTTTCCACCAAGCTTTTTGAGGTAAGTAATTCCTACTACATATGAGTTAAATACTTAGATTTTGGGTAGATTATCATGTAAAAATTAGTGAAAATCATGGGATTAGAGGAAAACCTAGGGTTTGGCAAGAATGAGATTTTTTCCACGAAAATCACCATGAAACTTAGTAATAATCATATATCTATGTTCCTTAGGGTATGGGTAACAACTTCCTTCGAAAATTTTCGGAATCCGGACAAGTAGGCCCGGGGTGAATTTTAGGAATCTTACCTTTGGGGTTGGATAATCACTTTTATAGCTAGGATATGAATTTGTAAACCTATAATGATTGATTTTTACACTATTTGAATAGTTTCGGATTTTGCGACTCCGGTTTGAGAGTTTGAGCGCATTCTTGAATTGGAAGTAGGCTTGAAACGAGGTAAGTCTCTTTTCTAACCTTGTAAGAAGGAAATTTCCCTATAGGTGAACTTAATTAATATATGATTAATTGGTGGGGCTACATACGCACGAAGTGACGAGAGTCTGTACGTAGCTACTATTCCTGCTATGTCCGGGTAGTTCTAGGCTTACACCATGCTTTGTGGGTACCGTCATATGATTATAATTGTTGATTTGCATTGAATGGAACTAAGTTGAAGACGTCACAGTTTCAAAGATTTCAAGTAAATATTTATTTTGAAAAGAATTGAGAAAACATCAAGTTATATTTATACTTGACCGCGTCGCAAGTATATTCCGCGAGCGGGGTGATTATTTCCACTACTCTCATGGGAGCGGGCCGTTCGCCTCGGCAGGTTAATAAATGTATATATGGTTCGGGTCGTTCGACCCTCGGCAGTGCACAGTTTACTTTTATGTTGGATCGGGCCGAACGTGCTCGGTGGTATTCGTGTGTGATAACAGAACCGGAACCCCTTATAACTAGTATGATTTATTGCTCGAAAGATCACTTATTTTAAATGAAGAAAGTGCCTAGATTTATTAATTAGATGAAAGGATTTTTAGTATTATTCCTGTTTGAGCTTGTTGTTATCTACATACATTGTGAATTAATATATTGAACTTCATATTATTATAATTGCTGGCGCTAGTAAGTGTCGGAGTCGACCCCTCGTCACTACTTCTTCGAGGTTAGATGACATACTTATTGGGTACATATTTTTATGTACTCACTCTACACTTCTGTACTTGAATGTACAGGCTTTGAGGCAGTTGCATCTGGCCATCAGTCCGGCGTGTAGATTTGGACTCCTCAGCTTGAGACTTCCCGGTGAGCTGCCCTTCTGAGCCGTTCCGCAGCAGCTGGAGTCTCTCTTTTGTCTTTATGTTCATGTCTATTTCTTTTCCCGACAGTAAGATACGATTTTGTGTATTCTACTAGATTGCCCACACACTTGTGACACCAGGTCTTGGCACACACATTGGTAGACTTATGATATTTTGGCTTATTTTCATGATTTCAATTCGCATTTATTACTTCCATTTAAATATGCTTAAATTTTTAAACTCTAAATTTCTTAATCAACTAACTATTCAAATGAGAATTTACTATTTGATTAGTGTTGGCTTGCCTAACAACGGTGTTGGGCGTCATCATGGCCTTATACGGAATTTGGGCCGTGACACCATATCTGCAACTAAAGTTAATTATACACAACTTGATAATTACTAGTAAGCATAAGGGCAGCCCGATGCACTAAGCTCCCGCTATGCGTGGGGTCCGGGGAAGGGCGAGACCATAGGTCTATTATACACAGCCTTATCCTACATTTCTGCAAGAAGTTGTTTACACGGCTCGAACTCGTGACCTCATGGTCACATGGCAGAACTTTACATGGCAACAATCACTAGTAAGCATAACGGATTTGAAAACTAAACAGTTCAAAAATTTAAGAAATGGATTGGAATCATCAGGAGACTAAAGAAAGCACCAATACAGTATGCAACACTGCAGCCCTAGTTAAAATACTTCTCATAGCACAAAGTTATTAACTTTAAAATCAGAAATGCTAGTTAAACTCACAGCACATATAAAAAATTTAATTAGTCCAATCAATTAAGAACAGATTTAGCAACTTGCTTTTAATGGTCTTTTAATTAAAGTAATTTAGGGTTCAAGATTTGGGAATTAAATCGAAGCAGCTACTAGGGTTTCAAAGGGGTTACTAAATTTACGATTTTGAAAAAAAAAAATGTACCTACTAAAAGAGAATCACCGGATTCTTGAAAAACCGTCGAAAGATTCGCGGCGCCGGAAAAGTGTCCGATCAAATACTCGTTCCTTTATCCGACTCAGAGCATGGAGATTCAGTTACCGATTGATACCATTTTCTATGTCATTGAAGGAGAATCACAAGCCTGAAAAATATGCCACTTTCCAAAAACGGAAATAACATGTCTTTTTTAAGAAAGAAGAAATTTATTAAAAGAAACTCGGGACGCCTAAAATCCGTAACAAGAAAATTGTATCATTCGATAAGACGGACCACCATTTCTAGCATCTAAGCAGGAAAAAGGAATGAGTACTGATCATTGAAAAAAATTCGTAGATAGAATTTAATTGTTCTATTTATAAATAGTTCAACTAGAGGAGATGTGGTAGGTGAATGAGATATGTAGTCTAGAAGGAACAATTAACAAATGAATATTTCCACTTCTAAAAGGTGGATTCTTACATCAATTAGGGATATCAATTTTTCACGACAAAAAATTAAGTAGTGGTGATGACACATAAGTCAACCCGTTAGATAAGCCAATTAACAACTATTCTATTTAATAAGACTTATTAAGAAAAGAAATGATAATATAACTGTTAATACAAGAATTTTTTTCCAAGAACTGGTAGTACAAATCATGAACTTCTAAGATTAAAATTTACAAAGCTAATATGGAATAAATACATTATCTGTTCGAAAAGTAAGTAAACAGATTTATATATTCTAACTTTCTAAGGCTACCATGAACAAAAGGCAGATGTGACTGGAACGCAGGTACGACTTCCAATCCAGCTCCCGCCGTACGCAGCAACATCAGCATCCAACATCTGCACACAAGATGTAGAAGTGTAGTATGAGTACAACCGACCCCATGTACTCAATAAGTAACAAACATAACCTTAGGTTGAAAGTAGTGACGAGTTGGAACAAAGGTCGGGTCTGACACCAATAGCCAACAACAATTCATAACAATATAGTACAAGTAATAAAAGAAGTATCTCAGAAATAGAATGCTCAGCTCGTTCATAGTTCCAGAGAATAGGCATGCTTTTCAAGTATCTCAGTGAAAATCCAAATCTTTTACAGAACTTGCCAAGAAAATATGAGTAAGCTTGAAAACTGTGATTTTTACAAAAATTCTTTCAACGATAAATAAGATGTTTCATTTTCAGATAGCATGCGGAAAGTACATCTCTATGCCTGCATGTCAAGATACATGTAAAATCATGAATGTCACCAAAATCGAGTAGTAGAAGAAAATGTATCTCTATACATGTATATCAAGTATGCATGTCAAATTGAATGCATCTCAGTGATGAACTCATGTACTCACACTCTCAGAGTACTCCATCTCACTGTCTCGCATTCTCTCTCACCATGCTCAATACTCAGCACACTCAATCACTCAGCACTGTATAATACCTGCTGCGGCGTGCAGCCCGATCCACATATAGCCATAAGGCCCGTTGCAGCATGCATCCTGATCCACATATATAGCCATAAGGCTCGTTGCAGCGTGCAACCCGATCCACACACACACACACACACACATATATATATATATAGCCATAAGGCTCAGTCATCAATCTCTCCAGTCTCTCTCTCACGGGCTCACAATGTCATGAAACTAGCCCGAAAATGATGATATGATGTATCAATAAATAATAACAGAGACTGAGATATGATATGTAATGAATGAATATGACTGAGTACGAAATTTCAATGGAATCAATAAGTCAACGGCAAGAAACAACCACTACGGGTCCCAACGGTACCGGCATATAGCCTAAACATGATCTTTAGCATGATTGACAGCTCAATTACTTTAGTACGTAAAGATTTCATGGTTACAGATAAGGTCGGGTAACTACACAGTACCACAGAAATAACAGAGTCATAAATTACATGGTGCACGCCCACACGCCCCTCACCTATTATGTCCGCCACCTCAACACCAAACACATAACACATAATTCGAGGTTTCATACCTTCAGCACCAAGTTTAGAAGTGTTATTTACCTCGAAGAAGCCATTTTTAATACCGAGCAAGCCAAGACTATGCTCCAAAAATACCATCTCACGCGTACCAACTTCCAAACGGCTCAAAACTAGCCAAAAGAAACTGAAAAAACTTCAAATAATGCCAAAAGAAACAAACCCATCGATAAATGTTGAATCTTTAATCAAAAGCCCAAAATCATCCAAAAAGTCCAACCTGGGCCCGCACCTCGGAACCTGACAAAACTTATAAAATCCGATAATTCATTCAATTACAAGTCCAACCTTACTAGTTTCGCTCAAATCCGACTCCAAATCGATGTTCAAAACACAAAAATTCGCTTTACGAAACTTTAGGCTAAAACTCCTAATTTCTCTTTAAAATTCGTCAACCAATTGCCAAGAATGAAGATAGATTCATGAAATAAAATCAAAACCAAGTGTAGAACACTTATCCTAATCCTTTTGATAAAAATTGCTCCAAAAATTGCCTCAATCCGAGTCCCACATCTCAAAATATGAAGAAAGAACCAAACCTCGATTTTATAACTTCTGCCCAACATTTTCGCATATGCGGCTAAAATGTCGCATCTGCGACCTCCGCTTCTGCGAAGAAATCCCTGAATAGCCATCACCGCTTCTGCGATCCGTTACCGCTTCTGCGATCACGCTCCTGTGCTCAGTGATCCGCATCTGCGGTTGCGCAGGTGCCCCTAAGAACCTGCACCTGCGATCCACATGCCCAGCTCCATTCACGCTTCTGCGATGACACTGCCACTTTTGCGACTCCGCACACACGCCCATAACTCGAGTCATTCCAATTAGGTAGGTGAAGAGTCTCTTTCGAGCGAGATCCTTTACCGCGCCTAACTAAATGAAAGAAAGTAAGAGAGAGAGTGGCCGCCTTCCGCAGATACGGTCACACCAGAACCAGCAGCCTCAGCAATTTAACATGAAATGAAAATGATTCACAAACTCACCCGAGCCACTCGGGACCCGTCCAAATATACCGACAAGTCCCATAGTATAACACGGACCTATTCGAGGCCTCAAATCACACCTAACAACATCGAAACAATGAATCGCACCTCAATTCGAACTTGATGAACTTTGAACTTTTCAACTTCCAAAAATCGTACCAAAATATAGCAAATCAATCCGGAACAAACCCAAATTTTGCACACAAGTCCCGAATGACATAACGAAGCTATTCTAACTCCCGAGACCACAATCTGAACCCGATATCCATAAGTTCAACTCTCGATCAAACTTTTGAACTTTCCGAACCTTCAAATTTCTAACTTTCGTCAATTTGTGGCGAAACCTTCTAGAAGCATCCAAATGCAAATTCGGGCTTACGCCCGAGTCCAAAATCACCATCCGGACCTACCGGAACCATCAAAGCTCCGTCTCGATGTCAAATTCACAAAAAGTCAAACTTGGTCAACTCTTCCAATTTAAAGCTTCAACAATGAAATACCTTCTTCCAAATCGATTCCGAATAACCTGAAAACCAAAACCGACGATTCACATAAGTCATAATACCTCATACGGAGCTACTCATGCCCGTAACTACCGAGCGAAGTAAAAATACTCAAAACAACCGATCGGATCGTTACACAATTCTTCTGTTTATTTACAATTAATAAATGAATATTATTTTGGAGTTGCGAGTTTATGAGAAAGTGAATCAACGAGTCATGTTTCTAAAAGAAAATGACCCTCTTTTTTTTCTTTTCTTTTCTTCCCATATCACTTCAAAGCCCTAGTATGGCTTGGGCGCTAGCGCTTTACTAATATAAGAAAAACTCAAGCTCTTATGTTAAACGAAGTTGTGAGCCTACTTAAATATAGCTAACGATTATCAAGTCTACGACAAACGTAGGGCTAAAACAAGCAAAGCAAGCTTTCCCCCTTCATTCATTGTGGGCTGCACCTCACCGCAGGTATTGAATGAATGAAATGATTGGAGATCCTCCGTCCCTCTTGCTAATTACCAAGAACTTTGTTGTCACTAGTAAATTAGACCGTCCTCTCAAAAAAGAACTCGGAAAGGTAGCATTAATTTTTTTGCATGTCCATTAAGAAAACAATAAATACAAGGTGTAGTTTAATGACATAAAAATGTGAATTATGAAAAAAAGAAGTTATTGGGGTTAAATTGAAAAAAATTATTTGCAGTTTTAAATTATGTTTGGACATGCATTTTACTTGAAAAAAATATTGTAGTTAGCGAGGGATAATTAAATCTTACATGAAAAACGAAAAACCCACTTTTCAAATTTGAAAACTCATCTTTAAAAAAAGTTTGAAGAAGTTAGTCCAATGTATAACCAAACAAATTTTGAAAAATAATTTGAAAAAGGGAAAAAAAATTATGGACAAACGGGTCATTATCTCTAATAAATGATTTTTGATAATTGAGCAATATTAAAAAAAAACTACTATTTTTTAGTATTAACGGTATAGTTGAAAAGAATTAATAATTTTAGTCTTAAATTCCTAAAATGACAATTGCGTTAGGATTAATTTTTTAGCTACAATTAAAAAGGACGGATGGAGTATCGTACTGTACTAATTTTTCCATAAATTTATCATAGAATAAATTACACAAATATATTTTCATAATATAAATCATGTGAAGATACATCTAGTGGCGGAGCCACCCTTTCCTAAGGGGTGACATCCCTCGACAAAAAATTATATTCTATAAATAGATTAAAAAAGGTGTATAAGTATATGTTGAATTTTCTTGATTTCTTTGATTTTTTTTAAAGTTTCGTTAGTGAAATTTTCCGTTCCACTATTGGATACATCTATCTCTATTTTCAACTCAAACAGTACTTACACTTAATATACTATGAAATCCCATATTAGCTTGTGTAGTATTTTATGAGGGTATTAAATGTTTAGTTTTGAAAAAATATGGGACAGCAACACGCCTTGATAAAAGTATTTTTCACGTTTATGATAATCCAACTATATATAACAAGAAAATTGTATCATTCGTTAGGATGGACCTTCATTTTGCATCTAAGTAGGAAAAAGGAACAGGGATTTATTATTAGAAAATTTTCTGCATATTTAAATTTGATTAATCTATTTATAATGGCTCGACAATTTAACTTGAGAGACTAAGAAAATGTAGGTGAATGTGGTATTGAGATGTGCATTATTCTTTTCAAGGCACAATTAATTAATAAATGAACATTTCTACTTTTGAAAAGTGAGTTCTTATATTAGCAAGGGGTATTAATTATTTTATCAGGTCAATTTTATTAAAAAAAAATTATAAATTTTATATAGTATCGATAATTTTATAAATACTTTTTGAAATTGTC